GTTGGCTAAACCTAGACCACACACAAACACCCATTGGTTTCTTTTTCTCTCTCTCTTCCTCTCGAATTTTCTTCCATTTTCCGTACAACCCGTACGGTCACTCTCTCAAACCATTTCATTACTCATAGATCGAGGTTGTGGATCTTATCTTTGTGCTCCTTGCAAGCTCAAGAGTCGAACTATAACTTTGGTTGGACGTGAGAACTTTGGAAACTCGAGAACCAGGGAGCTCTGACAAGCTGCACTGTTACTCTGTTGTGATCACAGATGTTTCGTTGAGTTTTAGGATCCTAGGGAGTCTTAATACTTCTTCGCAAAGTTCATAAAATAATTTTGGAAGGTTTTGGACGTCGGGACACTCGAGTTCGTCGAGTTGCAGGAGTGGCCGAACTATCGAGATTTTTTTGGCCAAATTCCGTTGGTTTTAGGACCTAAAAGGGTAAGGATGTGTTCCTTTCATCCTAAGCTTCATTTTGGTACAAATTTCATGAAATTTGGTTGAGAAATGGATGAGATATTAAGGTTTGAAATTTTTCCAGAATCCGACGATAGCAGCGATGGCCGGCGTCAGACTTTAGCGAACCAAGGAAGAAGGAGGAGAATATTCCGTCAATTTTGAGTGAATATGCTAATGGCATCAGGTAAAATTAACGGTATATGCTGTTATTTAACGGAATATTCCCTAACGCTATTAGGGATTCCGTCCACCGTGCCAGGCACGTGCCTGTGCGTGGCCGCGCGTGTGGCCGTACCTTGGCTGACGCGTGAAGAAGTGTGGGACATCAGAAAATTATTCTAAAAATATGGGGATGTTCGTGGGGTTGAGTAAGCCACGATGGTATATTCAAATACCCCAATTGAGCAACGCATGAGAAGTTATTATCTAGTTTTGGTTGTGTGCTTAAAATAATGTTAAAATAGTTGTTTCACATATAGGTGAGACGTTTCCAGAGTACAAGCGCAGTCAGGCGAGGCTCAGGGGTTACGACCCTGCCATATATCAGTGAGTGTGCTTTTGGTTTTTAGTGTATATATATATATACACACACACACTTAGAATATGCTTGGTATTTTCCAGAAAATGTGCTTAAATGGACTTGTGTGTTTAAAATGCCATGCCAAATATTTTATACTTAGAATATGCATTTAGTAGTTGCACATATTTATGTTTGACGTTGCAGACGCTCAGGTAAGTGCCAGGTGAGTTTATAGATTCTGGATGCGAGTTGCATGATTATGTTGAGATGTATTATAGCTCATAAACCTACCACCCGGTGTTAGTGCTCCTGCCCCTGGTCAGGGCACAGTTCTTCACATGATGTTCACCTCCAGCACTATACGCTCACCTTGGATCCAAGTTAGGTGCACAGTTTTGTCGTACAGACCACTATAGGTGGTTTCAACTCGTAGGTGACCTGCAATGATTAGCACAATTTTCATGTGATCGTAGCACTTGAGCGTATTTATTTACACCCAGTCCTGTCGTACAAACCACTTTAGGTGGTTTTGACTCGTGTGCAGGCATACTTGTTGAGCTATTGGTTGAGTCGTATAGGTCATATTAGGTGACTCGTGTACAGGTCATACTTGTTGAGCTATTGGCTAGATGGATGAGTTATAGATTCAACCGTACAGGTTGTATTAAAAGACTCCAGCTGACATATCATTTGCATTAATTTATATGTCCTAGCTTACATATTTTATGCTAAGATATTTGACATGGCATATATGTGGATTTTACTATTCCGAGCATGGTTTTGATATACAGTATGTATTCTATTTTCTGGGAAATTATACAGATTTTACAGCGAGGGGTTATTACCTTTGACAAGTGAAATGGTTTTGAAAAGCATTGTTTTTGCCCACTCACACTTTCTGTTTTGCGCCCCTCCTGGTTTTAGGTAGGAGTGCTTGTTGGTGGTTTACGAGGAATTGACGGCGGTTCTGACAGTTTAGCACTAATGTAGGATCACCTCTGGTATTGTATAATTAGTACTTGTCCTGCTGGACTGCACTTAGGCTACCTATGCTCTGATTATGATGTATCACACTTAAATATCGGGATTGCACTTTTATTTGCTTAGTGTAAATTAGTTAGCTTGGTTCTTAGTTATTGACATTTCTTTATATCATTATCATTTCTGCACTGCGCACATGGCTACGTCACCCTCACGTGATAGCCAGCATGCCTTGATTTTGGTCGGGGTGTGTCAATTTATCTTTAATATTTTTAATTCCATAAATTATGGGTTTTATTTAAAATCTCATTGATATAAATAACTACAAATTTCATTTTTAATTTAAAAATATAATAACCTACATAGAAATACATAATTAGATTAATGTCAGGGACTTCGATAAAAAACTGAAAACCACAAATGATTTGGTCAAAGAACACATTGGTAGTTAAGGATCGCATCCAAAGTCTTCCTTTAATTAAACTATCAATATCTCTTTAAAATCAAATTTGCTACCTAAACTACCCTCACAAACCTAATTCAATTTATAAATTTATCTCTACACCCATTTAGAAAATACAAATCCAAAATTTGCAAACAGAAGTCCATTTCAAGTTTAGACTACGAAAATGTGCACAAATTCATAATTTACGCCAATGTGATCGTCCTTGCAATCGTATTATGATAGGGTTACCAATCCATAATATTTCAACTTTTGTTTCACTAAACTAAATTATGAAACTATAAGAACCATGCATTGGGTTTTTTGGGAGAGAGCTTATCAAAGTTGAAATCAAACCACCTACTGAAGTATGGCGCTTTTCTCCATGGATATGACATAAGGCTAATTCAAGTTATTTTGTATTTGAATGGGATACAATAGATTTACTTGATTTTAGTAATGTTTGGAAGAGTGCTATTTGATTTAATGTCACATCCCAGCCCGGGAGGGACGACTTCCCGGGCCCGCTCCACTACCGTAGCACGATATTGTCCGCTTTGGGCTTACCATTCCCTCACGGTTTTGTTTTTGGGAACTCACGAGCAACTTCCCAGAGGGTCACCCATCCTGGGAGTGCTCTAGCCTTCTTCTCGCTTAACTTCGGAGTTCCTACGGAACCCGAAGCTAGTGAGCTCCCAAAAGGCCTCGTGCTAGGTAGAGATGAGAATATACATTTAAGGATCACCCCTGGGCGATGTGGGATGTCACAATCCACCCCCCTTAGGGGCCCGACGTCCTCGTCGGCACACCACGACCAGGGTTAGGCTCTGATACCAAATGTCACATCCCAGCCCGGGAGGGACGACTTCCCGGGCCCGCTCCACTACTGTAGCACGATATTGTCCGCTTTGGGCTTACCATTCCCTCACGGTTTTGTTTTTGGGAACTCACGAGCAACTTCCCAGAGGGTCACCCATCTTGGGAGTGCTCTAGCCCTCTTTTCGCTTAACTTCGGAGTTCCTACGGAACCCGAAGCCAGTGAGCTCCCAAAAGGCCTCGTGCTAGGTAGAGATGAGAATATACATTTAAGGATCACCCCTGGGCGATGTGGGATGTCACATTTAATGTGTGTTCATATCTTTCCGCAGGGTTTAATCAATAATCATTTTTCACAGCTTCAGACCTTGAAATCTAGTGCAGATCTTGAATGCCCTGTACAGTTGATCAGCACTTACTTGCATGAGGTTAACACAATCTTATCCAATTAACAGGGGAAAGATACCCCTCTATCCATACCAGAAGCATATGATGTTTCAGTGATTGCCAGTTTCATGGCCTGAATGAATCCTGTCTCATCCTTAGTATTGTATTTGCAATGACTTAATCAATCGAAAGAACCATGAACTAGAAGGCTGGATGAAACTATTACATGGATTATTTGGATGAAACAAGGGGTGATGGTACGGTTTAATTATAGAGTGTGAGTTATTGATAAGTTTTAGTTTTATTGTTAATTTTATTTCGTACTTGATGATAATTATGTAATAGAGTAAAAAAACAATTTAAATTAAATGTAGAAAGTGATTATACGAGTTCAAATAAAATTTCCCTACTACTTATTAGAAAACCGTTAGCCTTTATTTACTAAATATGTAATTTTGACGCCAATCACACCCGCCCACGCGTAATTTTTCTTTTCCCTTTCACAAGATCACTAATGAGTGTTAGGGACAATTATAAATTATACAAAAGTTGATTTTAGCTCAATTCTCATAGAGTATTTGATTTTCTTTGTATTGGATTAAAATAAGTTGCACTTTGGCTGGGTGTATATTAAAATGCTCCTCTTTAGTATGAATAGAATATTTCTTTTTGAATTCCTCGTTTTGCAACCGCTCTTTTAACCAATTATGTTTTGAGTTCAAACTCTCTTTCTCTTTTTTTTTTTTTTTTTTTTTTTTTTTTTTTCTTAAGTTTACATTAGTGTATGATATCATTTACATTAAAAAAAGGGAATTATTATTATTATTTTCCTATTTTGAAATTCGAATATGGAACTATGATGCCCATGCAACATAAAATTAGAAAAGGAGTGAGAAATGAGATGAAAAATTAACAAAAACTTAATATGTAAAATGCAAATTTCTATGTTGTCTTGCACCACTACAAGAAAAATTGCCAATAGCTACGGAGCAATCATGGTTGTTGTTAGAGACTTCGAGTAGCTATCACATGTTTTTGTGTCGTAGTCCTAGTGATGATTATCTCTAAGCTGCAGATGGCAACTAGCTATAGCAAGAATGACCAAATCAACTAGTGCAGTTCTTTGACCTAATCAGCTGCAGATAGCAACTCGCAAGAATGACCAAATGCTTGCATTCAAAACTTGGAAGATATTGTAAGGATGTTGCCGGCTCTAACCAATTGAAAATGTGAAACAAACAAGTTAGGACAAAGAACATAGCGTTGAGAATAAGATGCCGGTCATTTATACATAGAGTAATACACACTTGTGGTTTTTTAAACTCAAGTTTTGCACCAAAGACGGCTGCATGCTGACCCAGTCTCTACCCTCCACCCTAAAAACACTACATCAGGCTTTCTAATGATTTGAGTGCTGTTTTTTTTATACAAAGATATTCATTAAATAAATTTAATGATTAAGGATACAATAAAGACGTGTATTAAGACATGAATCTCAATTGGAATTCTAAAACAACCCAAAAGCACTATACCAAAGTTGATAAAATCCGCACAAATAACTAAAAATACACAGCTACAAAATTTAGTATAACACGTATCCAAGCTCATGCACCCCAAAACAATTAATTAGACCACAATGCTGAATCCTAACTATCACCACAAAATCGAAACTGTACCATTATATGACCCAACACATGTAACCAAGAAGTACCTGTGGAACAATGAGTGAATGTAAAAAGGAATCGGTATTCAGCAATCTCTGTGTGCATAAGAAATAGGAGTCGCTTTAAGGTGTAACAAGAAACCAACCACTTCAAATATAAACAAATACTCAGCTAAAAAAAAAAAAATGTAAAACAAATAGATATTATTTTGTAGCATGTCTCAACAGAATGGACAAACTTTCAAATGATGGGATATTGAATTCCTTGTCTGAGGACTCTAAAATTCCTAGGAAAATGAATTAGGGTTTGAGCTCCTTAAATAAGAAACCATCAGAACAACATTTTTGTTGAGAATAATACAAAGATCAATCAACCATGGAAGTAGATTTCCAAGGATACATCATACTTTTCCTCGTGTGGCTAGTCTCCACAGTTTTGGTCCGAACCATGCTCACCAAATTTCGGACCAAGCCTCGCCTTCCACCAAGTCCGATGGCCTTGCCAATCCTCGGACACCTCCACCTCCTTGCTCCAATACCTCACCAAGCTCTTCACAAGCTATCTAACCGATATGGGTCTCTGATTCACCTCTTTCTTGGTTCCGTCCCTTGCGTAGTTGCTTCCACGCCAGAGATGGCGAAAGAGTTCCTCAAAACTCATGAGGGTTCTTTCTCCAACAGGCCCTATATTTCTGCTGTTGATTACCTTACGTACGGATCAGCTGATTTTTCATTTGCTCCTTATGGACCTTATTGGAAGTTCATGAAGAAACTATGCATGTCCGAGCTTCTTGGTGGAAGGACACTGGATCAGCTCCTTCCAGTCCGCCGTGAAGAGTTGACGAATTTTGTGCAACTGCTTCTGAACAAGGCCAAGGCAGCCGAGCCAGTTGATGTTGGCGCAGAGCTTATGACGGTGACAAATAACGTCATATCGAGAATGATTATGGGGCAGAGTTGCTCTTCGAACGAAAAAGAGGCTGATGAGATCAGGAAGCAGGTGAAAGCTATTGCTGAGTTGACGGGAAAGTTTAATTTGTCGGACTTCATATGGTTTTGTAAGAATTTGGATTTGCAAGGGTTTGGGAAACAGGCTTAAGGAAGTGCGTGACAGGTTTGACTTTATGATGGAGAGGATTATCAAGGAGCACCAAGAGGAAAGGAAGAAGAAGGAAGTTGGCGAAGGTGGCGGTGATGCAGTTAAGGATCTACTTGACATTTTACTCGACATAGCTGAAGATGAAACCTCGGAGTTCAGATTGACAAGAGAAAACATAAAGGCATTCATCCTGGTAAATAGTTCTGAATTAATTTGACTCAAATCTTACATTGCCTATTAGTAATTTATTGCTCATTCACTGATCACTATAATGCCTCTAGTTGTGAAGGATTTCATTAATAACTAATACGTATTTGTTAAATGACAACTATAATGATTTAAACATGAGATCATGCAATCGAATTTTTTTTACATCCATCCATATTTAGTATACATTTGCTGATTTTAACGGTTGAATGTACGTTCACGAATCTAAGGGATGGAATTTAATGAGTGGATCGAACCACTTAAAAGGCAATGTATATACTTTACATTGTCGTATGGTAGAGACTCACGTGAACATATTCTTTTCCATATGGTTGGATGTTATAAGCCAAAATCACAATAAGTTTCTAAATGCTATGTGCATATGTAAATTAATGAAGCGATTGTTGATATATATTTGTTACATATCAGGATATATTTTCTGCTGGAACCGACACATCTGCAATCACGACAGAATGGGCACTAGCAGAACTAATCAACCATCCAGATGTGATGCAGAAAGCAAGACAAGAAATTGACACCATAATTGGAACAAACAGGCTAGTACAAGAATCAGACATTGCCAACCTTCCCTACCTACAAGCCATAGTGAAAGAAACCCTAAGGCTTCACCCAACCGGTCCATTAATCGTGAGAGAGTCCTCTGAATTTTGCACCATCAGGCGGCTATGACATTCCCGCGAAAACAAGATTATTTGTGAATGTGTGGGCTATCAACAGAGACCCTAACCACTGGGAGAAGCCATTGGAGTTTGAGCCGGAGAGGTTTGTGACGGAAGAGGGAAGTGGGAAGAGCCAGTTAGATGTGAGGGGGCAGCATTTTCATCTGTTGCCATTTGGGAGTGGACGAAGAGGATGTCCCGGAACCTCGCTTGCAATGCAGGTTGTGCAGACAACACTTGCCGCTATGGTTCAGTGCTTTGAGTGGAAAGTTGAAGGAACTGTTGACATGGAAGAGGCAGCTGGATTAACACTTCCGAGGGCTCATCCTTTGGTTTGTGTTCCAGTGGCTAGGTTCAATCCCGTTCCATCTTCCTGAATGATCATTCATAGAGAACCTTGTGTGCTTTACAAGCTGTCACTGAAAGAATTCAAATGTATTATTATATACTCTATCAAATACTGCGGTTCTTCCTCTTGCACCTTTCCTTCCCTTCTGAGAATTTGACTTCTCAGTTGCATTCATCTACTCTATCATCAAGTCAATGGATTCACCTTATACATGTTACCTTCCGATCTCCTGAGAAGAAGATTTTTTTTCACAGTTACCTCTTCTAACTGAAAAAGGCAACACATTGTAAATTCATCAGTCTAGCTTGTCAATCATCCTTTGTTTACACATGGAGAAAATCTTATGTACGGCAGTTGTAGTGGCTACTAGGACAACTGTTACATTGAACTTGTTGAATTATAAGTATTTGAGCTGAAAAGTTTTAGAATAAGTTTGTTTAAATTGGTGTATTCACTTGTGCAAAATGAGGCAAAGTGTAAATGTCTAGTTTTGTAAAAAGGCCATGAGTGCCATGTGTTGATTGATCCATGAAATTAGATAGATGTGTGTCTAAGATGAAATGTAGTGTTTTATGTGGTCCTAAGTTAAGGGCCTTCAGTTAATGTAAAGCATGTTAGTGCTTTTTTTCGAATAGTGAAGAAATATTCCTCTGCAAAAGTTTCTGCAAGAGAGAAAGCAAGAAACCATTCATTTCTCCAGTTTTGTTCATCTTTCGTTTTTTTCTGTCCTGCTCCCTCTAGATCAAAACTCATTGATTCAAGTTACACTAACATGGTATCAGAGCCTAGTTGGATTTAACAATCTGGGCATAAATCTGTGAAGTTATCGAGCTCAATCGAAGCTCTCTTGAAACTCTGTGAAGGTTGTCGATTCAGATCAAAATCATGTATGGATCTGGAGGCTCGGAAGTGAGGACTCCAATCTTCTCCGGTGAGAACTACGAGTTCTGGAGAATCAAGATGGTGACAATCTTCAAATCACATGGGTTGTGGAATCTGGTGGAGAAGGGAGTTAAAACGTCCGATTCAAAGAAGAAGAAGTCTGAGGGATCGTCGGAGGATGATGGAGATGAAGAAATGTCAGCTGTGTTGATGTAAGACGCAAAGGCTTTGGGAATCATTCAGAATGCAGTCTCGGATCAAATCTTCCCTCGAATCGCCAATGCCGAGTCAGCGAAGATGGCATGGGATTTGTTGTACGGAGAGTATCATGGTGGTGATCAGGTACGATCTGTGAAATTGCAGAATCTTAGAAGAGAATTTGAATATGCTAGGATGCGAGATGATGAGTCTTTGTCTAGCTATCTTACACGGTTGAATGATTTAATTAATCAGATGAGAACATTTGGTGAATCTCTGTCGAATGAGAGACTAATGCAAAAGGTCCTGATTAGTCTTAGTAAACCTTATGATTCTATCTGTTTGGTTATAGAAAATACAAAGTGTCTAGAGACTGTAGAATTGCAGGAAGTAGGTGCAATCTTAAAGAGTCAAGAATAACGGTTTGATTTGCATATGGTTGATGCAAATGAGAGAGCATTCTCTTCACTCTCTGTGAATCCAAAGGAGCAGAACAAGAGTGATGGTCATTCTGGTTCATCTAGATTTCAGAGAAATTGGAATTCTAAAGGGAAGAAATGGGAATCAAAACCCAAATTTCAGCAAAAATCTTCTCTGCACAATTATCATAATGCAAATGCATCTCAGTCAGTGGGTCAGGAGGTTGCAAAGCCTCAGTGCAAGGTGTGTTCTAAATATCACTTCGGTGAGTGTAGATACAAAGGGAAACCAAAGTGTTTCAATTGTGATAAATTTGGGCATTGGGCTAGAGAGTGTACTGTAGGCAGGTCAGTGCAAAAGGCGAATAATGCAAGTCAATTGGAGATGACAGGGAATCTGTTTTATGCAAACAACACTGTCACAGAACCAAAGGTGAATGGAGAGTGGTATATAGATAGTGATTGTAGCAATCACATGACAGGAAATGTAGATTTGCTTGTTGAGGTTAGAACCAATGTAGTTGATAAAGTTCAAATGCCAACTGGAGATCTTGTGAATGTTGCAGGAATGGGATCTTTGGTTATTGATACAAATAAAGGGAGAAAGTATGTTAAAGAAGTAATGTATCTTCCGGGGTTAAAGGAGAACTTACTCAGTGTTGGTCAAATGGATGAACATGGATACTTCTTGGTGTTTGGAGGTGGAATGTGCAATGTGTATGATGGTCCATCACTGGAATGCTTGGTTATGAGAGTGAAAAAGAAAGTGAATAGGTGTTATCCACTGACTTTGTTCTATGAGAATCAAATGGTGCTGAAAGCTAGTGTCACTCACTCTACTGAGACTTGGCACAGAAGACTTGGACATTTACACTTTGGTGGTCTCAAACAATTGAGAGACAAGGAAATGGTACATGGTTTGCCACAGCTTGCAGACTACAATGGAGTCTGTGAAGGTTGCCAATTTGGTAAACAGCACAGAGAAGAATTCCCTAGAAATCAAGTGTTTAGAGCAACTGCTCCACTTGCACTGATTCATGTTGATTTGTGTGGACCTATGAAGACTGAGTCAATTGCTGGAAATAAGTATTTCATGTTGCTGATAGATGATTTTACCAGAATGATTTGGGTTTATTTCTTGAGATATAAGTCAGATGCATTCAACTGTTTTAAGAAATTCAAAGCTATGGCAAAATTGCAAAGTGGTTTCAAGATTAAGACTCTGAGAAGTGACAGAGGAGGGAAGTTCAAGTCTTTAGAATTTGATCAGTTCTGTGAAAAGGAAGGAATACAAAGACAATTTACTCTTGCATATACTCCACAACAAAATGGAGTAGTGGAGAGAAAGAACAGAACAGTGATTGAAATGGCGAAATCTATGTTGCATGAGAAGAGGATGCCATATTTTCTCTAGGCAGAAGTTGTGCATACATCTGTATATATTCTAAATCGATGCCCCATAAAGGCTTTGAACATCATCACACCTTTTGAAGCCTATTCTGGTAGAAAGCCAGGAATACCCCATCTGAGAGTATTTGGATCTCTGTGTTATGTTCATGTTCCAAGTGAACAGAGGCATAAACTTGAACCTAAAAGCTTGAAAGGAGTATTTGTGGGATATGCAACTTGTGAAAATGGGTATAGGGTATTTGATCCATTATCTAAGAAGTTATTCTTGTCAAGAGACATTGTATTTGATGAAGAAGTTGTCTGGAATTGGGAAGAGAACTCAGGGTCAACATTTCTTAATACTGGAAGTCTTATTCACAGTGATACAAGTACTGAGAGCAATGACAGAATGGTGTTGTCTCCTACATCACCTATATTTTCTCAGTCTAGGAGAGCTCCTAATAGTGAAGATTCTGAAGCTCAATCCAAGTCACCTATCTTAGGTGAATCTTCAAGCATGTCAAATTTAATTGAAGGACACAATCAAGCATTTGATAATACACCATTGAAGTGGAGAAATCTGATGAAGTACTGGCTCAATGCAATCTGTGTATCATGGATCCAGAGAAGTATGAGGATGCCAAACAAGATGAGTCTTGGTTAAAAGCTATGGAGGATGAGCTGTTTATGATTGAAAAGAATGGCACCTGGAAGCTTGTTGACAGACCAACTGAAAAACCTGTTATAGGGGTTAAATGGGTCTACAAAACTAAGTTGAATCTTGATGGCTCAGTGTTGAAGAATAAAGCAAGGCTGGTTGCAAAAGGCTATGCACAAAAGCCTGGTTTGGACTACAATGAGACTTATGCACCGGTTGCAAGGTTGGATACCATTAGAACTTTAATAGCTTTGGCTGCACAAAAGAGCTGGAAACTGTATCAGTTGGATGTGAAGTCGGCTTTCTTGAATGGAGTTCTACAAGAAGAGGTCTATGTTGAACAGCCTAAAGGTTTTGTAGTAAAAGGCAAGGAAGAAAAGGTGTACAAACTTCATAAGGCCCTCTATGGTTTAAAACAAGCTCCGAGAGCTTGGTATGGAGAGATTGACAGCTATTTCTCACAGTGTGGTTTCAAGAAAAGCTTGAGTGAACCAACTCTGTATATAAAAGCAAGGGGAGAAGATATTCTGATTGTCTCTATCTATGTAGATGATATAGTCTACACTAGTAGTTGCAAACCAATGCTAGAAGAGTTCAAAGAAGATATGAAAATGAAGTATGAGATGACAGATTTAGGTCTTCTTCACCACTTCCTTGGGATGGGAGTGATTCAAACAGATTCCAGCATTTTCATAAATCAGAAGAAGTATGCAAGCTCTTTACTAAGTAAATTTGGTTTAAATGAAGCAAAGACTGTCTCAACTCCTCTAGTGGCTACTGAGAAGCTATCTAAAGATGATGGAAGTGGATCTGTAAGTGATGAATTGTATAGGAGCATTGTGGGAAGCCTTCTATATCTCATTGCTACAAGGCCGGATATAATGTATGCAGCCAGTTTATTGGCCAGATATATGCACTATCCTACCAATAGACACTATGGAACTGCAAAGAGAGTACTCAGATATATCAAGGGGACTCTGGATTATGGTTTAGAGTATGTGAAAGGAAGAAAAGCTTGCTTAATTGGTTTATGTGATAGTGACTGGGGTGGTTCATTGGAAGACAGCAAAAACACATCAGGATATGCATTCTCATTTGGCAGTAGTGTGTTTTCCTGGGCTTCAGTCAAGCAGAACTGTGTTGCACTCTCAACTGCAGAGGCTGAATATATAAGTGCATCAGAAGCCACAACACAAGCAATATGGCTGAGGTTTGTTTTGGAAGATTTTGGAGAATTACAAACTGTGGCTACTCCTCTTCACTGTGACAACACATCTGCTATTGCTATCACAAAGAATTCTGTGTTCCATCAAAAGACAAAGCTCATTGATAGAAGGTATCACTTTATTAAGGATGCACTGCAAGAAGGAATCATTGATTTGGTGTACTATCCCACTGAAAAACAGGTAGCAGATATCTTCACAAAACCTTTGGCTAAGGATCGGTTCAACTATCTTCGAGATATGCTTGGTGTGAAATCAGCTCAAAACTTAAAGGGGAGTGTTGAATTATAAGTATTTGAGCTGAAAAGTTTTAGAATAAGTTTGTTTAAATTGGTGTATTCACTTGTGCAAAATGAGGCAAAGTGCAAATGTCTAGTTTTGTTAAAAGGCCATGAGTGCCATGTGTTGATTGATCCATGAAATTAGATAGATGTGTGTCTAAGATGAAATGTAGTGTTTTATGTGGTCCCAAGTTAAGGGCCTTCAGTTAATGTAAAGCATGTTAGTGCTCTTTTTCGAATAGTGAAGAAATATTCCTCTGCAAAAGTTTCTGCAAGAGAGAAAGCAAGAAACCATTCATTTCTCCAGTTTTGTTCATCTTTCGTTTTTTTTCTGTCCTGCTCCCTCTAGATCAAAACTCATTGATTCAAGTTACACTAACAGAACTGTCATAGAATTAGATGAGACAAAGAATATAAGCGTCTATGTTTTATAGAGATGCGTCTTACACATGACGTGTTCAAACACCCTATTAAAAAGTTTCTCCCAGATATGCAGTTGCGGTCTTTATGGTAGCAGACTCACTAACATATATAGCATAATCAAATGCAAGACGTAAGTATATGAGAAAATACAAAAACTACACGAATGTCTATTGTATTTTTGTGTTTAAAACACGTTTAAAAGACCATATTTTATATCTTTGTTTACACATTAATATCCTGATGCGCTTAAAATCACGTGATATTATAACCACACTCGAATACATGATAAATTTATGAAATGTCAATAACAGTTGAACAAAACATATCAACAAATAGCAACCATATTCTCGGTGACAAGAATAATCGGTGGACTACAGAAAAAGATTATGAAAATAAAAGTGTTATTTCACATTCCATTAGCCTTATAAAAGTGGAATTTACGATTTGTGGTAGTCTGTGGGCCAAATTTAAGATTATGTAAACCCCAGCAAGAAATTGACAACCTCATACTTGATCATGACAAGTTGACAGCGAGAGGAGGACGAATTCATTAACAAATTTATAGGGTTTTCCATTGCCAAACGCAATTAAACTTTTACGAAAGAAGAAAATAAACGCTTGCTTAGATGGAAACTGCTTTAATTTATTTTCTATAAATTCTCTTGGGATGCGTTTACTAATCCATATTCCGATTGAGAATAATTGGATTGAGGATGAATTGAAATGAGGTGAAATGAGAATAAGATTCCTGTTAAAGTTGTTTACTAAAACTGTCTAGAATTGGAGTAGGAATGATATTGAGTCCATATAAGTTGTTTACTAATTCACTTCAATCGGAATGAAAACTAGATTGATTACTAAATTGCCCTTACATAAATAAATTATTTTCATACTAATTTATATAATAAAATTCATCTATATAAAAATATATAAATAGGTTGTATTTATTTATTAAAAGATGGTTATTTCCATCCATCCCCTACATCTCCATCTTTCCCATGCCTCCTTATCATCCTGAAGGTCCAGTTGCACTGCCCTCCACCCACCCCTACCTTTCCTTGCCCTGTCTTTATCTTCCACCCCCTTATGCCTCCATAGCCACCGCCCCATAGCTAGGCCATTCATGGTCCAAAGCGGAGCGATCTCGTTGCCATTTCAATCCTGGTCTACTACATCGATTAAGAGTTCAACGGTCGGATTCAGGTAAGAGTCCAACGATTCGGTGAAACGAATAAAGAGTAGGCAAGTTATGTGATGTGGCCCTGCACGGCGGAGGATGTGGTGTTGGCAAAGATGGAGAATGAGTTGCGATAGACGAGTATCAAATGAAGGGCAATGTTGGGATAATCAGAAACAACTAAGGGCATAATTGGTAGAAGAAATCCACCATGGATTCCTCAGGTGTCCAGGAATTGAAATACCTCTCTCATGTAGGGAGTTCAATTCCTCCAAAATTAGGAGTTGCATTCCTTACTGCGTGTGGACCCCACATGTATTTTAATTCCTCAAAATTACATAAACAAAGATATATCCCGTAATTGGAATTCAATTCCGTAAATTGATTCCGATTACAGGTACGTAAACGTGCCCAATGCTTTACCCATAAGAATTTGCTGGTTGGGTTTTCCCTCCACTGAGTGTATTTTGGACTCGACATATGGTTATGGAATTCGCCTTAATTTAGTTTATTTGACAAATGACTCTTTTTGACCTGAAGCTATCTTATCAATTAGTAAGGTCGCGAGAAAAATGACTAGTTTTTCGAGCGTAAATTTTTTTTATTTACAAGCTGATATTCTAGTTCTAAGATCATCTTCAATGGTTGGGCTAAAAGCCAAATATTTTAGCCCGGAAAATTTAGCTTTTAGCCCAGAAACAACTTTTCTACTCCAACCTTTCTGGCCTAAAATTTTAGCCCGGGATTATTAAAGAATGAACTTAGGCTATTTTTTTTCTTAAATTAAAATTTAAAAAAAAAATAAATATGTAGATTGTCGTAAATTAATTTTATAAACATTTGAATCTAAAAAAATTTAAATTCCGATAAATATTGAAAATTCACTAAATTTCCCACAAAGCAAGCCGTCAACTTTTACCAATCTTTCAACCCTGGGCTAACTTTCAATTCACCAACCTTTCAACACCAAATTTTCAATTCACCAACCGCCAAGCATAGAGCAACATCTTCCACACAAGTCCAATTACGACCTCTAATATGCTCTCTTGCCATGTTGAACAATTTGGAAATGGAAAGAAATGGTAGAAAGATAAATTGGAAGAATTGTAAGAGAAATTTGAGTTTTGTGTGGATGTTTGAACAAATACATAGGTATTTATAGAGTTTTTGGGTGAATTTTGAGTTAAATAATTTTTTTAATTATTTTAACCGTTAGATTTAAATTTGGGCCGTTAGATCTTTTTTTTTTACCGTTAGATTTGATTATATTTGATCTCAGCCGTTGGATTCAATGTATTTTAAAATAACATATTTTAAAAAATCAAATTTGAATCTGGACCGTTGGATCAACCAACGATCCTTGAAACGCAACCGTTGGATTGCAAAAATAGCCGTTGGACTTCATCTGGGTGGCTGACAACCCGCTGACAGAGGGCCCACCCTGTCGGACACGGATTGCAAGCGCTCTGCGTGGGGCACGTTTGCGAGTGAGCGGGCCGAGACTAGCCTTTGGGCCAGCGAGTCCAGTCGCGCGGGGGGGGGGGGGAATATGGGGGGAATTTGGCCCAACTTTAACATTTGGCATTTAGCCCAATGTTTTAGCATGGGTTGGAGATGGTTTGGGGGGGAAATTTGGGGGGAAATTTGGCATTTAGCCTATTGTTGGAGATGGTCTAAGTGGTTGTGTCCTTTAAATGAGAAAACTCTATTTTTGATTGAAATTAAATTGAAAAGAATTGCATGTGAATTTCTCTAATTTTTTGGTAACTGAAAATTATTGGTAACTTTTTATTTATAAGTGAGAGGTCTTAAATTCAATTCTCGTCAAAAACGAATTTGAACAACATTATTGCTAACTCATTGTGAGTTGCCGAACCTAAGAATATTCCCATGACAAAAACCTGTCCCAGCTTAATTTTGTCTAATTTTGTTTTGTAAATTTTAACACAAAAATGTGGTGAAGCCGTTGGCGTTGCATGTAAAACAGTAAATCCTTGTCCTTGAAGCTCTTGCCATCACAAAAAGCACTGCCCCCAATCCACCGTCTCAATCCCATGTTTACTCTCAGCCCACATTTTTTGTTTTTGTTTTTGCTTTTGGTTTGATAGGCCTCCCTCTCTCGCTTCCCCCTCTCCCCTTTCGCTTTCAGATTTTGGATCCCCTCCACTCTCTCACCAACCCCTTCTCCTCCCATCTCCTTTCGCCTCACCAATTCCTTCCAGTTTACCATTGATTTCTGCACCATCCATGCCTCTCGATTCACACTCGCCATAGTTACCTAATATTTATTTCAATTGTTAAGTAATCTCTAATCTGTTCATCCCCAATTCATGTTTTTCAGATGATGAAATTCACAAATACTTATTCCCCAACATTCTGGATTCTTCTTTGTTTCTGAAAGTGTGCATATAATTTCATCTGGGTTTTGTTCAAATTGATCAAAAAACCCAACTTTTGTGAAAATTTTGGTGTTTGAATTTCTGCGTTTCTCTCAAAAATGGTGACTGTGAATCTGGGAATGCTTCATTATGTTCTGGACCATGTGCATGGTGCATTCATGCACAGAACAAAGATTAGCCCTCAATTTTTTTCAAGAGGGTGGGGCGGCACAAAGCTTGAGCTGCTTGAGAGGATGATAAATCAGCTTTTCCCAGTAGCAGCTGGCCAGAATTGGCCTCCTACTGTGATCCAACCAACTTGGAAAACTGTTTGGGAGAGCAAGACGGCTTCTCTCAGAGAAGGGGTTTTCCAGACGCCTTGTGATGAGCAGCTTCTCAGTGCATTGCCTCCTGAGAGTCACAGTGCAAGAGTTGCGTTTCTTGTTCCAAAATCGGTTCCTCCTCAGAGGATGGCCTGTGTCGTTCATCTTGCAGGTATAATTACGGTTCATATTTATTCACCGTGTGATAAATTAGGATTGGAATTTTGGGATTAATGTTTTCTTATTTTATTCGTGTATGTTTTGGTTATTTACACCGATGTAGTATAACAAATCATTAGTAAACTATTGGGAGGTTGGATTTACATTTACCGCTTCGATTTATCTCTAGCAATATGAACTTTGAGCCTTGCTTATTGATGAAATGCTCTGAAATATAATTTCAACCTGTTTTCTGCCTTTTGATTACAGTAGCAAAGGTTGGCAGGTAGCGGTAACTTGGCACACCATGCGTTGTGTTGAGCATTGAAATATTAGAATTAGAAATCAAATGCTAGAAATACGTTTTGTTTATTTATTTTAAAATGTTTACAATTCAATTGGGTCTTTGTCTTCAACTTGTAAACTTCTCTCAAAGAGTCTAATATTGAGTTTTATGTGTTAACTAGTTTTGGGAAAGTATACTTGGAGGAACTGTTCTTGTTCCTTTGGAAGATTGACAAACATGGCCGTCCAATTTACTTGGTTTGGTTCTCTCAACTATATTATTGCTGCAAAGTATATGATTGTGTGCGCAGTAATTTGTTCTTCTTTGGTTGGCATTGTTGAGGAACACTGGGAGGAATTTCTATGCTGACTACATATTTATTCAAATATCTCTAGATTAATATGTGATAACTGATGATGTATTACATTTTGGTTTGAGCTAGTCCTTCTGCAATCAACTTAGTGGAGAAGCTCTGGAAACAAAATCTCTTTAAAGCTTCTTAATTTGAATTTCTTTGCAGTAACACTTGATTGAAATATTTTTTTTAACCTTTTGCGTTACGATTTGTAATTTCCATTTTGCAGGAACTGGAGACCATACATTTGAACGAAGGTTACGTCTTGGTGGACCTTTGCTGAAGGATAACATTGCTACTATGGTGCTTGAGAGGTATTAATTATTCTGCGCAGCCAGATACCTTTTGTAACTGAAATCAGAGTTCTACATGGTTACTATTCGTACCTTCCAGCTTTTTAATTGAGGTAGATATGTTATGCAGCCCTTTCTATGGACAAAGACGTCCTGTGATGCAGCGTGGGGCAAAACTTATGTGTGTCAGTGACTTGCTTTTATTAGGAAAGGCAACCATTGAAGAAGCTCGCAGTCTCTTGCATTGGCTAGACTGTGAGGCAGGGTTTGGCAAGATGGGTGTTTGTGGACTTAGCATGGGTAAAGACCCAACTCCATCTCTTGCTATAGCTTTAAGTGTTCGAAGTTATAAGAAGTCGTTCCCATTCTCTCTGGTTTAAAATTTGAAGTATTATTTATTGTTCAAACTTAAACTAGTTTTACTTCCTTTCTACATGGTTGAAAGTTGAACCTAAATTTTTAGTTCTGACCTTTGGAATAAATCGTGAACTTTTCCTGGAAGTGGAACACTGGCACCCTTCATTTAATCACAGTCCTTTTGGCCGAAAATATAATGCTTCTATGGAACCTAGGAGGAGTACATGCTGCAATGGTTGGATCACTGCACCCTACACCCGTCGCAACCCTACCTTTTCTCTCTCCACACTCTGCTGTTGTGGCGTTCTGTGAGGGAATATTAAAGCATGCAACTGCGTGGGAAGCCCTGAGAGAAGATCTTGCAGTGCAGAAGGCTGCAATGACTCTCGAGGAAGTGAGAGAACGGATGCGCAATGTCCTGTCTCTCACGGATGTCACGCGCTTTCCGATTCCAAAAAATCCCAATGCCGTGATATTTGTTTCAGCCACTGTAAGTATTTATTGTTGGAAAATTAGTCTATTACTGTTTTTATTAGTTTACTTGGAGGATAAGGATTATGATTCCTTGCCCATTTTGGATTAGGTTTAGTTCACCATGTATAGGACTGCTTGTATTTTATTATGAACAAGTCAGTAACAATGTGGTCCTCTGAGTTGTAGCCTTCTTGGCCAATCTTTTAGCGCTTCTTCGTTTTGTATAATATTCGTAGTTTTATAATCCGTTGTACTCTGATTTTCAACTTTTATGTGGTTACCTTTCTGCTCTTTTGTTATTAACCCATCTTTAAGATTCTATCAACGTTTTCCCATTTCCTGCTCTTAATAGCAAATTGACCATTGTATGTTACTCCGAATAAGTCATTGTGGAATGTAAAGTCTTGATTTTTGGTTTTTGTGACTTGCTAGCTTTACAAGTTTTTTCCTTTAATTACACTCTATGTTTCAGGATGATGGATACGTCCCGAAACACTCTGTGCTAGAACTTCAAAAAGCTTGGCCGGGTTCAGAAGTAAGATGGGTCACTGGTGGGCATGTCTCATCGTTCCTTCTCCACAACAGTGAGTTCCGCAGGGCTATTGTTGACGGATTTGACAGATTGCCATGGAAGGAGTCTCCATTGTGACATTGGCAACACAAGTGGAGAAGGGTCACCCTACACTTATTCTGATGTGGTAACCTTCGCCTCTAATTTACGCCGAACTTGAAAAAAACTGGATATAGTTGATATTTTAAACACCAACAGAAATAATGGGAAAACGGGGTCTCTTTCATGAATATTATTTCCTTATTTGTATGACCAAACACCCGTTTAAACAGAAACTAGTTGCAAATTGCTGGCCAAATCTGCAATTGTGGCCGTTACTTGCAGCTTGGCAGTGGAGCACCGCACAAGCATCGGTTATGGAAATAAGAATACTCGTTGAAGCTTTGCAACTTTCCGCCCACCGGAATCTGACCACACAGCCTGTTGTAGCTCACGTTCAGGAACTGGAAATTCAGTTGCGTAAACTCCACTGGGATACTCCCGTAGATCTTATTGTGGTTGATATCCAGCGAGGTCAAGCTTGTCGGAAACTCCACCTTTGACAGATTAAATTCCAGCAAGTTCCTGGACAGGTCCACAATCTGGGTTGTCTTGTTCAGCCCAAATATCACGGATGCGTCACCTTCGAGCTTGTTCCGTGATAAGTCTATGCTGGTGAAGTCCATCTGAGCGAATGAGGTTGGAATGTTGCCAGAGAGCTGGTTGTGGGAGAGATACAGGTATGGAACGTTGCCAATGAACTGCCCAAACGATATCGGAATATGACCTGTGAGCTTATTGCGGTCTAGACGAAGAGCGTCGAGGTTTGGGAGCTCAGAAAGCGAGCTGGGGATGGCACCGGTGAGGTTGTTGAAGGAGAGGTCGAGGAATGTGAGGTTCTTGAGTTGGCTGAGGAAGTCAGGGACAGAGCCTGAGAGGTTGGTCCAGCTGAGCCTGAGAGACTTGAGTCCTTTGAGCTTGGCAATGGCAGGTTGGATTGGGCCAGTGAGATTGGGTTGCTTGTGGAATTCAAGGGTTTCAAGGTACGGCAAGTCTCCAACTAGGGCGGGGATTTGGCCGGATACCTGGCCGGCAAAGATGGTGAGGGAGTTGATGCGGTTTGTGGTGGAGTCACAGGTGACGCAGTACCAATCACAACAGTCAGTGTCTGATTTCCATGAGGCCAAGACATAGGGGTCGCCGAAGGCTTTCTTGATTTGTAGGAGGACTTTTTTGTCATCGGGGTTGCAGAGATCGGAGAGAGCGGGGTTTAGGACGGAGGAGAAGAGTAGGGTTAGGGAGAGGAAGGTGGAGAACTTGAGCTCCATTGTTTTGGGTTTTGGTCGAGAGCCTGAGAGACGTGAATTTGTGGTTCAAAGAAGTGTGGGATTTATAGGTATTGCATGCGGCCATCAAAGTGAAGTGTTCTGGGAAAATGGATGATGCAGTGTACTGTCGAAGAGATTTTTCAATATGATCGGTACACAGAGTGGTACACTACATGTTAATATCCAAATTGTGGATATGTGTGGTAACAAGTTAATAACTTAAAAAATAAATTTTCCCACCACTTTTATTATAATACGTGATGTACCACTTGTTCTCTGCCACAATGAAAAATTTCTTGTATTGTTAAAAGTTTGGACAGGTCAAAGGTCTTTTGCGCATTTAATCGACATCAAAAAGTAACATGCTTTTCTCCTTATTTCATTCAAACATGTGGTGTCTTTTGTTTTACATCTCCTAAAGTTTGAGATGTTCCTAATCTTTTAACTGTTAGATTTTTAATTAAAAATACTAAAATCAAGATGTATCGGTTATAAACTGAAGTATACTCCAAAAGTAGAATTTTTAGTAGATTTGTTAGTTTAATAGCAAAATTGTCTCATTTTCTCAAGGCCCTAATGCTTTAGGTCTCATGATTATCTGAGTTGTTTGGGAAAGTAAAAGCGTAGGAATAAACAAAATTAAAGAGAGAACAAAAGGAGCACGGTTTGGTAACCATGGTCGGCCAAAGCTGGATTGATAGAGATGAGGACCTAAGAGTTTCTCAAGATTACTCAGCTTCTTTGACTGAAATAAGCTAAGTTCGGAGGAGAGATTTGCAAGTACTACTAGATTTAGGATAAAATAATTAGAAATAATTGACAAAGATGTGATAGAGGCATTGAAGTGCCCTACATGATTATTAATAATACACAAACAATTCCAAATCACTCATGTCAAGCAGTCATTTTCAGATTCATCCGTTACTTCGTTTTATAATGCATTTCTAACTAATTAAAATTCATTGGTATTCACAAATTCCTCATCCAAACATAATCTCATAAACAAAGCGCTAGCCGACTAGCTATGTAGCAAGTCATTTTATTTTTTGCAGACAGTTGTTGGTCACTCTTAAATGATTCAACTTTATTTATATTAGATTGTCAGTGAAGTAAAATCGTTAAGAGTAATTTGTTATAAATAATTTTACGGTATTTGAAATCATATAATAACCAAATTTTTGCTAGCGTTGTTAGAGATGCTCTAATCCAACATTTGCCAAAATTTCACGCTTCTATACTGTTACGACAACTTGAAGAAAAAAAAAGTCAAAAACGAAGGGTGTCTGCTGAATCCTTGTGGTCTGCGTGCTGTGATCTGGCAAATGCAGATGAACCTCCACCACGTTGTGCTTCACCAAGTGACTTCCACCCTTCCTCAATTGGCAACTGATGGCGGTGAATTGAGACTTAATTAAACCCAATAAACTTGTGCCATGTCAATGTTACTATTTGCTTTGCTTGTTAATTGCCCTGTGACTTCTTTTTAATACAACAACATTACTCATACTAAAATATGGAGATTTTAGATAATTAGAGAGCCATGGGCACTGTCGCTGCTTTATTAAATAAAGATAAAATAACAAAAATATTCTTATTTTTTGTCAAATCATTTTAACTCATTGTTTATTAAATTGAAGGTATATTTGGCTTTTTATTCTTATTTAACATAAATTTTTACGGAATGATTAAAATGATTGATGGTGGACAAATTCAATAACTACTTCTATCAATTTCAAATCTTAAAAACTAAAGTAAGGAGTTATGTCAATTTCATGACCATTTTAGCTAAAAGCCTTTTACTTATTTAGTTAATTTTTTTTGTAGGTCATCTGGCCTCCACAAATAAAAGGAGGGTTTTTTTTTTTTTTTGCTAATTCTTTAATTTAATATTGTATAAAAAAATCATGTGCAAAATAACATGAAAACATCCTCTAACGTAGAGAGAATTGCACGTATAGATATTAAAAAAAGAAAACAAATGAAAATGGCTTGAAAACTTTGAATTTTAACAATAAGACAAAATAAAGAGTAAAGTGAATAGTATCAGGTTTGACTTTTTAGTGTAAAAATGTGGTTTTTTTTGTTAAAATGAACAGTACCGCGAGCTTTTCGTTAAAATTCCCTATCAAAAAAGGAATCGATTTGATTCAGGTTTTGTCAATGTGGATGCAAAAGTCCGTCCCATTCGGTCTCTCGGTTCGGTTTTTGTTTGAAACTAAAAATCAAGCATAAATGATAGGTTCAATTCAATTTGATTTTGGAAAAGAAAATTGCTATATCAATTCAACCATACCAAAACTGACTCAAGTTCGATTTGGTTGGTTCGGTTTTGTTTGTAATGACTGTCGAGGAAGTGAGAGAACGGATGCGCAATGTCCTGTCTCTCACAGATGTCACATGCTTTCCGATTCCTAGAAAACCCCAATGCTGTGATATTTGTTTCTGCCACTGTAAGTATTTATTGTTGGAAAATTAGTTTATTATTGTTTTCTTTAGTTTACTTGGAGGACAATGATTAGGATTCCTAGCCTTTTAAGTTTAGGGTTTCTTACCTATTAGGATTAGGTTTAGTTCACTATATATGGGAGTGCTTGTATTTTATTATAAACAAGTCAGTCACAATGCAATTTTCTGAGTTGTAGCTTTTTTGGCAAATCTTGTAGTGTTTCTAATACTCATAATTTTGTAATCCATTTGTTCGTTTATTGTTATGTGTACTCTGATTTTCAACTTTTATGAAGTTACCTTTCTGCTCATTTGTTATTAACCCACCTCTATGACTATTATTGTTTACCTATTTCGTGACAGCCCACCCCGAATTATTTGTACTATAGGTGTGAAATGATGATTTTGCCCCTGGACGTTAATTTGCGTTGTAGGGTGTTTGATTTGTTTTGCTTTCTTTTTGGTTGGTGGGCTACTATTTGGACCACACACACATACCCGTGACTTCCTTCTCTCCCTTCTCTCTCGAACTTTCTTCCAGTTTCCTTCCATTTCCTTTGCAAGTGTACAGACAAACTTCAAACTAACTTTCCACGCACGGATTGAATGTTTGAAGGTTAGTTTTGGACTCCTTGCAAGCCCAGGAACTCATCCACACCATTTTTAGGACGTGAGACCTTCGAAAACCCGAGAACCATGAAACCTCGATTTGGTGCACTGTTCATGCACACGTGATCGTGAGGTTTTTAGAAGTTTTTAAGGTTCTAGGAAGCTTTAGGATGTCTTCACAAAGCTTGGGGAGTAATTTTGAAGTGTTTTGGATGTTTGGAAGCTCGAGTTCGTCGAGTTGCAGGTTTGGCCGGATTATCGAGGTTTCTCCGGCGAGATTCCATTGGTTTTAGGTCCCCAAATTGGTAATGTTTTGTTCTACTCATTGCAAGCTTCATTTTGGTACAAATTTCATGGAATTCGGTTGAGAAATGAAAAAGATATTAACGTTTGAAGTTTTTCCAGTTTCTGGCAAGAATTCGAGTTGTAGACGGCAACGTTAACGACGGCAACCGGCGAGGCTCACCGGAGAAGGAGGAGAATATTCCTTCAGAGTTAACGGAATATTCTAACGGCGTTAGGTAACTGCCGTTAACGTCTGTTAGGGTTTTAACAGAATATTCCTTAACATCGTTAGGGTTTCACACGCGTGCCTTGGCCGGCGTGTGGGAGCCAGAAAATTATTTTAAAAATATGGGGATGTTCGTGAGATTGAGTAAAGGATATAGGTATATTCAAACACCCCATTTAAGTAATGTATGAGAAGTTATTACCTAAGGTTGGTTATGTGCGTTAATTTGACATTTTTTTAGTTGTTTCGCATATAGTGAGGACTATCCGGAGGACGAACGCAGCCACGCGAGGATCGGGGCTTACGATCCTTCTACGTATCAGCGAGTGGGCTTTTGTTTTCAATATATATATATATATATATATATATTGATTGGTATCTTTCCAGAAACTACGTTTTAATGGTTTTCACTCTTTTACTTCCGCATTACGCACTTGACTACGTCACTTCCACGTGACGGCCAGCACGCCCCAATTTTTGGATCGGGATGTGTCACATTTCCTGTTCTTGATAATAACTTGACCATTGTATGCTACTCCGAATAAGTCGTCATGGAATGTAAAGTCTTGTTTTTTGGTTTTTATGACTAGCTAGCTTTCCAAGTTTCTTCCTTTAACCACAATTATGTTTCAGGATGATGGGTACATCCCAAAACACTCTGTGCTGGAGCTTCAAAAAGCTTGGCCAGGTTCAGAAGTAAGATGGGTCACTGGTGGGCATGTCTCATCGTTCCTTCTCCACAACAGTGAGTTCCGCAGGGCTATTGACGGACTTGACAGATTGCCATGGAAGGAGTCTTCATTGTGACATTGGCAACACAAGTGAAGAAGACCCTACACTTATTCTGATGTGATATCTTTTGCCTCTAATTTACACCAAACTTGTTAAAAACTGGATATAGTTGATATCCGAAACACCCGCATAAATAATGGGAAAACGGGGTGGTCTCCTTGAAATATTATTCCTGATTTATTTTCATTCATCCATTTCCTGTCGTATTCTAAATTCCGACTCACCAAACAGTATGCTGGTTTAGGAACACTGTATAGAAAAAAGATCGGCAAAGTTTATTACGTTTCTGTTTTCGACAAGTAAATTATTGGCCAAGTTTATTCGCTATAATCTTTTCTTTTACATGGATTATTCGCTATAAATCTGTGTTCTATATGCAGTGGTAAAATGCATGAACAAATCTTATTAATTACTTTTAAATGAGCTACACTGCTGCCATGACTGGTCGCTTATTTGTATGACCAAACACACCTGTTTAAACAGCAACTATTCGAAAATTGCTGGCAAATCTGCAGTTGTGGCCTTTACTTGCAGCTTGGGAGTGGAGCACCGCACAAGCATCGGTTATGGAAATAAGAATACTCGTCGAAGCTCTGCAACTTTCCACCCACAGGAATCTGACCACACAGCCTGTTGTAGCTCACGTTCAGGAACTGGAAATTCAGTTGCGTAAACTCCACTGGGATACTCCCGTAGATCTTATTGTGGTTGATATCCAGCGAGGTCAAGCTTGTCGGAAACTCCACCTTTGACAGATTAAATTCCAGCAAGTTCCTGGACAGGTCCACAATCTGGGTTGTCTTGTTCAGCCCAAATATCACGGATGCGTCACCTTCGAGCTTGTTCCGTGATAAGTCTATGCTGGTGAAGTCCATCTGAGCGAATGAGGTTGGAATGTTACCAGAAAGCTGGTTGTGGGAGAGATACAGGTCTGGAACGTTGCCAATAAACTGCCCAAACGACTATCGGAATATGACCTGTGAGCTTATTGCGGTCTAGACGAAGAGCGCCGAGGTTTGGGAGCTCAGAAAGCGAGCTGGGGATGGCACCGGTGAGGTTGTTGAAGGAGAGGTCGAGGAATGTGAGGTTCTTGAGTTGGCTGAGGAAGTCAGGGACAGAGCCTGAGAGGTTGGTCCAGCTAAGCCTAAGAGACTTGAGTCCTTTGAGCTTGGCAATGGCGGGTTGGATTGGGCCAGTGAGATTGGGTTGCTTGTGGAATTCAAGGGTTTCAAGGTATGGCAAGTCTCCTACAAGGGCGGGGATTTGGCCTGATACCTGGCCGGCGAAGATGGTGAGGGAGTTGATGCGGTTTGTGGTGGAGTCACAGGTGACGCAGTACCAATCGCAGCAGTCAGTGTTTGATTTCCATGAGGCCAAGACGTAGGGGTCGCCGAAGGCTTTCTTGATTTGTAGGAGGACTTTTTTGTCGTCGAGGTTGCAGAGATCGGAGAGAGCGGGGTTTAGGACGGAGGAGAAGAGTAGGGTTAGGGAGAGGAAGGTGGAGAACTTGAGTTCCATTGTTTTGGGTTTTGGTTGAGAGCCTGAGAGATGTGAATTTGTGGCTCAAGGAAGTGTGGGATTTATAGGTATTGCATGCGGCCATCGAAGTCAAAAGTGTTTTGGGATAATGGGTGATGCATGTACCTGACGAAAGTTTGGACAAGTCAAAGATCTTGTGCACAATAAATCGACATAAAAAAGTAGCATGCTTTGCTCCTTATTTCGTTCAAACATATAGTGTCTTTGAGAAACTTTTAGATCTTTGAAGTTTGAGATATTCTGAATTTTTTAACTAATAGATTTTTATTTAAAAATATGAAAATCAAGATGTATAGGTTATAAATTTGGAGTATATTCCAAAGTGCCGTAGAAATTTTATTATACCTGTAAGTTTAATAGCAAAAATTGTCTCATTTTCTCAAGGCCTAATGCTTTAGGTCCCATGATCATCTGAGTTGTTTGGGAAAGTACAACCATAGGAATAAACAAAATTAAAGAGAGGAAAAAGGAAGCACGGTTTGGCAACCTGGGTCGGCCATAGGTGGATTGATAGAGATGAGGACCTAAAAGTTTCTCAAGATTACTCCAACTCCTTTCATCGACTTAAGCCATGTTTGTATAAGAGATTTGCAAGTACTACCTGATTTAGAATAAAATAATTAGACATAAGCAACAAACATGTGACAGAGACATTGAAATGTCCTACATAATCATTAATGATACATAAACAATTCCAAATGACTCATGTCAAGCAGTCATTTTCAGATTCATTCATCAATTTGTTTTAGAACAATACTTGGTTACTTAAAGATAAGTATGAACTCCTACTCAAAATTTTTCAAAACTATTTGTTGTCAATTTACAAAATATTCATGTTTATAATCAGAACCGTTCATATTATAAATCATCCTATAAAGATTGCCTCTACAAAAAATCAATTAAAACTAAGGTCATTTAGTCATCAAACTGTTTAAAAACAAATAAACGGTATTAGTAAAAGCATTACGAACCGTCTATGTGTTTAGTTCAATATATTGACTAAACAACCCTAGTTTTAATTGATTTTTTTGCAGAGATAATCTTTACAATGTGATTTATAATATGAACGGTTTTGATCATAAACACAAAACTCTGTGATTAAAACACTAAGAGTTCTTAGTAGGAGCTCCTACTCATCTTTGAATAGCTAAGTGTTGTTATTTGTTTTATAATGCATTTCTAACTAATTGAAATTCATTGGTACCCACAAATTTCTCATCCAAACGTAACCTCGTAAACAAAGCATTAGCTAACTAGCTATGTAGCAAGTCATTTTATTTTTTGCGAACAGTTGTTGGCCACTCTTAAATGATTCAACTTTATTCAAATTAGAGTATCGATGAAGTAGAATTGTTAAGAGTAATTTGTTATAAATAATTTGCCTTATTTGAAATCATATAATAACCAAATTTTTGCTAGCGTGGTTAGAGATGCTCTACTCCAACATTTGCAAAAATTTCACGCTTCTATACTGTTATGACAACTTGAAAAAAATAAAAGAAAAAGAAAAAGTCAAAAATGAAGGGTGTCTGCTGAATCCTTGTGGTCTGAGTGATGTGATCTGGCAAATGCAGATGAACCTCCACCACGTTGTGCTTTACCAAGTGACTTCCACCCTTCCGCAATTGGCAACTGATGGCGGTGAATTGAGTCTTAATTAAACCCAATCAACTTGTGCCGAGTCAATGTCACTATTTGCTTTGCTTGTTCATTGCCCTATGACTTCTTATTAATACAACATTATTCATACTAAAATATGGAGATTTATTAGATGCGGCTCCATTCAATAAAAATAAAATGATAAAAGTACTTTTATGTTTTGTCAAATCATTTTAGCTTATTGTTTATTAAATTAAAAGTATGTTTGGCCTTTTATCCTTATTTAACAGAAATTTTCACAAAATGATTAAAATGATTGATGGTGGACAAATTCAAGAACTACTTCTATCGATTTCAAATCTTAGACACCAAAGTAAGGAGTTATGTCAATCTCATGACCATTTTGGCTAAATAGCCTTTTACTTATTTAGTTAATTTTTTCTATAAGTCATCATCTAGCCTCCACAAATAAAAAGAGGGCTTTTTTTGCTAATTCTTTCATTTTTTGTTGTATAAAAAATTATGTGCAAAATAACATGAAAATATCCTCTAACGTAGAGAGAATTGCATGTATAGAGATTAAAACAGGAATCGATTTGATTCAGGTCTTGTCAATGTGGATACAAAAGTCTGTCCTATTCGGTCTCTCGGTTCGGTTTTTGTTTGAAACTACAAATCAAGCATAAATGATAGGTTCAATTCAATTTGATTTTGTAAAAGAAAATTGCTATATCAATTCAACCATACCAAAACTGACTCAAGTTCGATTTGGTTGGTTTGGTTTTGTTTGTACTCGTCCCTAGTTGACTATTTCCATTGTACTTTGGAGCATAAAGACCAACTTCAAGAGAGTGTATTTCCAACCACGAAATCCATTGAACATGTGCGCAATCAATTCTATACAACTATGACAACTTTTTTTTATTTTTTATTACAGCGATATTTTACATTAAAGTAGAGGGAGGTTCAGCTAAACTACACAATAGACAACCTAATTTGAAATTAAATTCGTCAACCATGAAATTTGAACCTAAAACCTTTAACTTACAAATGTACAACGATACCACCAGACTATATTATTGATTCACTATACAACTATCATAAAATTACTCACTAAAAAAAAGACATGTGAAAAGTTAATTAAGGGTAAAAATCGGTGGGCTTAGTTAGGAACAAATTGAACCGAGTATTACCGTACAAGTAGCATGGTTGAATGTCGAAAGCTCTTCAAATTTTTTATCAACCATTGGACTGACCCAATCGATTCAGACCAAATGTCGACCCGTAAAATTGTGGCTAACTTACATCGTCTCCCAGTCATCCAAAGCCCAAGAAGTAGAGAAATAAACTGGCAGACCCAATTGAATGCTATGGGCCATATAGACGACATAATAATGTCCAGAAATTCTCTCCCATAACATTTGATGATCTTCGATTGCTTTATTATTATTATTATGTATACAAAAGAGAGTGAGAAAAGGACTTCAACGTGAGATTTTTAGTGTAGGGATAAACGTCTATAATTACTTGAACTACAAGTCTTTTCATTATATTTGTTTTATATTATGAATTGTTGGCCTATCTAAAGCAATCCTAGTTTTCTCGTTTGTGGTGCTATAACTCTTAGTTTGTGCATAATCTTGAGGCTAAATTCTTGTATTTTTTTTTGTTTAGTCTTCACCGGTATATCCTCATATTCCTATTCCTATAGCGCACTCGTAACATAATTGTACATTTTTATCCTTCATGGTCAGTCTAAAGCCGCAGAGCTAATATACATTACATTTTCTTGAAGATTAGCTAACCTACGTAAAAGGATCGTCTTCTCCTTTTTTTCTTCTTTTTGTTTTTTTTTTTTTTTCCTTTCGGGTGTATCTTCTAGTAGTCTAGTTTCGAAGGAATCAAAAGCTTTACCATTCTTTGGTGTATGGCATGCACCAAATAAATAGAGTGTTGGTGTTCAATCAAGGATCGTCCAACGGCCATAAAATTTATACACTAATACATACTAGAAAATCTCTTAAAAAACATCCATTATTCTTCCAAGGGAGGGGAAAAACTAAAGGCAGCAGAAAATGAAGATTATTGCTATAATGCTCTCCCAAACAAGGCATGTGTGGTTCTGCATTATTGATTCCCAAACTGAACTGATGAGAAATTCTTGTATGGAAAATGTGTATATAACATCTTTATCACAATAAGCTATCTTCCGACTAGCACATGAGGAAGTTTCTATGAGAGAGAAGTTGCATATATGCACCTGTTGTATGCAAAAACTTATCCTAACCAGTAACTAACTAAAAAATCCTCAATTTTTTTTCTTAGAGAAGAAAAGCAACATTCTCATTCCTAAGGGTTCATATATTCCAGAAATATAGAATTTTGGACAACTAATCAAGCTCTCCTTGTTTTCTTTGCAGTTTTTTAGCAGTAGCATTATTTGGTCCATTACAAAATTCTAAGCATATAAAGAGTAAAGAGGATCGCTATTCAGACTCCCTTAACAACAAGTTTAAACGGAACTTATTAACATATGTATATAGTTGAAAATTTATATTGCAGCTTTGGGTCATTGTAACACAATATGATAATAAAGAAGAAATATTACGGGTGTCAATCTCGCTTGAACTTGAACTTGCTGTTAAAAGCGTCGTAATAGTGGTTCTAAGTAGTAAATACCTTCAGTATCACACTTCCTCCATGCTATAGTCATTTTCAATCAAGGCCTTGATCATTCTTTATCCCAAGAAATATAACAACAAATTACTTTTTAATTTACATGACAGCAACCAAAGAGGCAATTCCAAACTGGTAGTGGAGGTGGCAGATGCTCAAAAAGTTAGAACACAAGAAAATGCAGGATTATGTGACTTGATTGTACAAGGTGGCTATTAATACCTGAGAAGCAGAATTTAAGGATACTGTACCTTAAGCATCAATAAACCCAGAACAGCTCAAATTCTTGGTCGCGAATTCTCGCTAAAATGAGAATCCTACTGGAACGTAAAATAACAGAGAAGGTGAAGATGCTAGCTCAAAGTCAAGTTCAAGATGCTGCTCTCGAACACCATTACTGCCTGCAATATGCCTATTTCGGAACAAGTGATTTACAACATGAAACCGACAAGATGTAGCAGTAAACCAATGTACCGCTGCAACCCTTGCCCTTATTTACGTCTACTGTTGATTATTTATACAAGTTTCAGGTAAAGTTTGTACTTATAAGCGTTTCCCATGCACCTGAAATGAGGATACTATAACAAAACATGTTTCTCGTTGTGTCTCAACATATTAATCATATTGGTTGCATATTGAAGCGTATATTTCTTCAGTTCAACCCCACTAAAACATTGCATGTTACTCGATCACCCAATGTTGTGGCAAGCATTCTTCAAAAGCTTTCGTTCCAATCTTCTGGTCCAACTTTCTATGGTGCTATAGGAATAGAAAGTGGGTCAAAATTCTTATCCTTGATTGAGTCAAGAACCTGTTTAACTCCATCAATGGTGATAATAAAGGTGAAGATGTTTTCTTGTAGTCGACAGTGTAGTAAAATTACCATGGTCTTCCCTACACACAAAAATTCAACAAAAATTCATCATATTGTATTTCGTACTCTTCTATTCTTATATTTGAATTCAGCTATTTTCGTTTAGTTTAATTTAGAAATTTCCTTCATCCTTCAGTTTATTAGAGCATCTCAAACTCCCACCACCACTTTGAGGATTCATTTAAGGACTTCAAAAGAACATTCAGGTCCCTAAAGAATTATTGTCTTCAATGGGGGATTCTAACACTATAATTCCTAAATTGAAGGACTAAAATATTGAAAAGTTGTTGTGCATTTTGTTAGAGTATTGTTGCCATTGATAAAATTTAGAAAGCTATATCCGCCGTTTGTTTCCCAATAATTAAAGAAAAAGAAAAAAACCAAAAAGAGAAGCGGTTTTGCAGCATTCACATGTGGGGGAGTTTATCAAAAGGCATATATCTATTTTCTTTTTATTACAGGATTTATCTTCCAACCACTCTATTACCACGGAGACTAATAATCAATTAGTCCTTAAGTTTACATTAACATAACAAGGTGCGGAGGTTAAATATCAACTATTCAGGTGCACAATGTAGTGCAAGCTTTGTTTTAAGGGACAAATGATTTTTTAAGCCTGTAGATACGCAATTTTGCATTATCTGCCCACACGTTTGGAGCCGAAGCTGAGAGCTGATTTTAAACAATTAAGTAGGAAATGAGAACCAGCACCTGCAGAAGTAGGTTGGTGATTTGTTGGCTGGCTTCACGGAAAATTATTAATTTAAAAGGGAAGCAGAATCTCCTTCCTTTGTTGCCGACTGGACAATATAAAAAAATTACCATGTTGTAAAGTCAACAATGAAACACATCTTAATTTTGAAAAGGACACATATGGTCATATCGAATGTAAAGTAGAAGACATTCAACCACAGGACCACCATCCACACCTAATCTAAGGATTAGGATTCTCATGATAAAAAAATATGAACTGTTGGATAAAAATCTAACGGTTATAATTATTATAACTTTAAAGGGATCCACCTATTTGTAGCCATTGGATAAAAATCCAACGATCCACGATCATGAGGATCCTCATCCTTAGATTAGGAGAGGATCCTGGTCCCAACTACAGGAACTACTGCTCTTCTAGATATATATATATATATATATATATATATATATATATATATTCCAACTACAGGATCTCCTACTGGTCTTCTACTTTGCCACTGGTTATATATAGGTCCCGTCCGATAAGTTCATAAATACACATACAGAAAGAGAGCTAGAGTGAGGCAGAAAGAAGCAACCTATGGCTCCGTTCCCCTCTCCAAGCGAACGCACAGCTGCTTTGGCCCTGCATCTCCTCGCCACCAGGGATGTCTCAAAGGATGAGATTCAAGCTCATTCGATGAATGTCGAGGTGATCGAGCTTCTCTCTCATCCATTTTCGAATTTTTACGTGGTGTTTGGTATTCAAATATAAGCTTTGAATTTGTGCTTAATCAATTTGTTGGTTTTGTTAGATTTTTCTCCTTCGATTGCCGTTTTCAAATCGATTTGTTGTTTATTAGATTTTTCTCATCATTTTACTTAGAGCTTCAATTTTCTTCCAATTTTTTAACTTGCACTTTGTTTTTTTGTAGATGATAATTTATATTGATTAGTTAATCTGTTTACTTTTGTAGATGATAATTTATATTGATTAGTTAATCTGATTTTAATTAATCATTATTTTCTTAATTAGTGGTCCAGCAGGCGAAGTCGAAGCAAACGACTGCGGGTGAGGTGTTTGGTTATGGACAAGAAAGCCGAAGCCATCCTGAATCTCTTGTCACGCGACGGCTGTCTCCCTGAAGTCAAGATACGTGAGGATCTCGGTGACAATCCCGACACCAGCAAAGCACTGAGAAAGTTAGCCTTGCCCCTCTCTCTCTCTCTCTCTCTCTCTCTCTCGGAATGTGTTATGCAAGAATGGTTGATAGAAGATACTGTGTTCATGCAGGTTGCTGAGCCATGGGAAGGTCAAAAGAGTAGGGGCAGGAGGGCGTCACCAGCCATATGTTTACACGGTATATGTATTTATATTAAAGTTGGTTATTTATTGTGTATTTTTACTCACAATCCTTTAATATTGTAAAATGAGTTTATATTTTTAAGTTTTTGTAGTAGTTAAATGAATCAAACTCATTTAACGATAATTAATCAAATCTAAATGAATTAATATGGTCATAAGTCTAGTGGCTGCTTAAGTTCACTTAATATTTGTGTTTCATGTTAGTTATTTATTTATTGTTTTAATTGCAGATATCATGAGAACTGTAGCTGACTAGCTAGGTAGCTAATGGATCGGGTTGACCAGAAATAATAGGGTTTAGGATACTTCTTTTGATATAAGAGTAATGTTACACTTATCATCTATTTGTATCGTCATTTGTATCATTTTCCTAATAGAATTTTGTTAAACTCTTATTTAACTTAGTGAAACGGCAATGCTTATTATTAATCACTAAGCAATAACAGAATTCAAAGAATGTAATCGACCTAAGAGAGAAGTGATGTAAGTAATTTAGATGAATAAGATCTTTTTCTTATATTTATTCCTAAAATGTTGCTGGTTCTTTTATAAGAAAATAGGCCCAAATAATTTTTGGACTTTTGTTTGTTGCAAGGTTTTTTCTTTATGAAAATTCAAACATCAAGAGAGTATTGGGATTCAGTTTTTCTTATTTTTACTACTAAAATGTGGATCATCCTTATCAAATCATTCCTGGACATTTAAACCTTTTTCTTGCATGCAGCCACTTAGACTACCTGATCCAATGGGATCTAGAATGCAAAGTAAAGAAAAGTCCTACTTGGTTGGAAAAAAATGGAAACTTACAACGCAAATGACACGTCTGAAAATCCAGCATGCATAAGCAAATCACCCAACCGGCATGCATAAAAGCAAATCACCCAACCGGCTACCGATTGCAACAGGAGCGAGACAAAACGTCAAACATGGAAACTGATAAACAACTGGATCATAAGGCATAAATCTGATGGGATGGGATTAAGAGCCCGCACCCAAAATGGAGCAAAAGGTTCCCCTGTCTACCAAAATTATTAATTTAATGACAATCTCCTCTGTTGACTACTAGAATCCCAAAAAAAAAAAAAAAAAAAAAAAAAAATATATATATATATATATATATATTCTCTGTCTCTCTAAACATGGATGCGAATCTGTGTGAGTGGGCAAAACTGTCAGACTTACAATCGCCAAATCCCAAATCCCAAACGTTCTATGTTTTTATATATTATATATATATATATATACACGTCAAATCCCAAACCCAAACGTTCTATGTTTTTATATATTATATATATACACGTCAAATCCCAAACGTTCTATGTTTTTATATATTATATATATACACGTCAAACGTTATATGTTTTTATATATTTTATATATACACGTCAAACGTTATATGTTTTTATATATTATATATATACACGTCAAATCCCAAACGTTCTATGTTTTTATATATTATATATATACACGTCAAATCCCAAACGTTCTATGTTTTTATATATTACTAGCCTCTCTGCACGTGCGTGCGAGAGGCAATTTTGCATTACGGGGCTACGCGTCCTTAAAGGTGTATTGTGTCAGTTTTTTTCTATTGTAATTGTTAAGATATATTTTAAACGAATTGTGCAAAGAGGAATTTTTTTCTTTACATGCACGTCCTAAAAAGTTGTCATGTTTTTCGTTTTCGTTTTGCGTAAAGTAATGATTTAAATGTTATTCATGCAATTGTCAAACAACATCGGATTTTGAATGCAAGTTCCTACCTAAAGTCCATGAACAATAGTAAGTAGATGTAAATAAAAATTAAAATAGAACTTAACGTTGTAAATAAAACATATTTAAGTTGTGTGTAAAATGCATGATTAAATCATTTAACGTGCGTGCGCGAGGTATTTTTTTAATCACGGGCGCATAGCACCCCTAAAGATGTTTCTCTGATTGTTTGTTTGTCATTGTAATTGTCAAGAGAGATTTTTAATTATCATGCACGTTCTAAGAATTTGTCAAGTTTTTTGTTTTCATTTTGCATGAAGTAATGTTTTATATATGAGGTTTTTTTATTTTTTTTATTTTTTTATTTTAATTACGGTGTAGTGCCTCTAAAAACGTCTTGCGTTAGAAGTTCTTCATTCTAATAGCTAAAGCTATACCGTTTAAGTATTGTGGCTAATTAATTGCATTAATGTCCAAAGTCAAGCTAACTCCCCTTCATTCTTTTTTTATTTATTCACGTTTTGACTATTGATGGCATTGGCTTCCTCTAAATTTCAACACCAAGCAAACTTCTTGTTTTTGTTAGGCTCTTTTTTCTCTAACGTTTCAGTTACTCAGTAGTGAATTGCTTAACTATTTTTCTTTCTATTTTTTTCCTTCTTTTTAGTATTTCTTTTCCATAGGCAGTGCATTTCACAAACATGCAGGGAACCAAAAAAACATAAAAAGGAACGAAAACCTAACAAAGAGGAAATTATTTATAATACATCCATGAAAATTAAAGAAAACCTTATAATATGTTTCAAAGACACGTTTGTAGTTACCAACATTAAAAATAAAATAAAATAAATCCATCTAGGAGTTAAATTTTCTTGCAACATGAGCGCCATGGTTGCCACCCATTTGTTTTCACGTGATGCTTCAAGTTTTCATTGCGAATCTATAAACACTATGAGGAAATTAGAAGTCAAACTATAAAAAAACAAAGCATCATTATATAAGTAGAGAGTAATAACATGTACCTTTAAATTAGATAATTTACCCATAGCAACACTTTTACTCCAATTGCTTGAAGAAGACTGTAAATTAAGTATTTGTTCAAGTTTGAGTTAAAAGTTTGTGATTACGTTTATGAAATAACTAATAATGTGATGTTGTACCTTAATCCTATGCTTCAACTTTTTCAATTTGAGCGAGGTATGATGCTTGTAGAACTGTTACAAAATTAAGTTTGAAATATTTCAAACTAATATAACAGAATGTACTGCATACTTAACTATTAAAAAATGTTATTATACCTTATCCAGAAAAATTGTATGGTTACGATTAATCTTCTTCCTACACCCACATAATTGGCCAGTTAGAATATTCATGTGTTATATGGTCAAAGATAGATAGGCATGGTAAGTAGGATTATACCTTATTCGTTGAACTTTTTTGTAGGTTCGTATGATGTGAGGAGTATTTGCTTTTTTCATTTCTGCTAAAGCATTTTTCATGTGCCACCTATATGAAAAAGGTATATATAAGGTTCAACTTTTCCTCTCAAATTTTTATTTTATAAAAAGATTAAGAAGAAAGCTAACAAATACATATTGCTCATGCTTCTTCTTTTTAAACTCTTTGAGAATTAGTTTGCTGAGTTCAACAGTTTTCACCCCAATGGAGATGCCCCAACCAGGCGAAAAAATAGAAACATGCCTGCTAGGTAGCTCATTTTTAGGTGGTGCCATCTTCACTTTTTGTCGCATTTCTTGTAGAGTTCCTACAAATAAACAAAATAAATAACTTTTGACACAACCAAAATAAATATGAAAAATGCACGACTTTTGGGCATATGTATAACATATGTCCCATTTGAGGGCACCTTAAAATGCAATGCATATGTTAAAGAGCCTTTCTTAATCACTCGTGCAATTAGTATTCAGAGATTGTCTATACTTAGTGTCTTCATATATGTACGTACAAATGTTTTTAAACCTTCTTACAATGCAACACGATAATACTTTCTTTGCACGGTAAAATAAAAAAATAAAAAAAAAAGTCACCAACAAACGTGTTAGAAAATGTCAAGGGCATAGAGACAATAACAGATGTCATCTCATGTACTAAATTGTCAAGCTTTTCTTACTGCTTGTGCTCAATTGAAATAAGAAGGATTCAATTATTCAATCGTCCAAATAATCTATTAACAAAAGGCACTTCAAAGCTTGTTTGGCATAAATGCAATAATAGAACAATGACATACCATATTCTGCAACCAAAGGAATGGAGTCCAAAATTTTATATGTTGGGTCACAAATGAGTATCATAAAGAATTCCAGTAAAAGACCACAAAAATCAAAGGGCAGCATTCTTTTTTCTTCACTAAAGCACAAAACTACCATACACTTTAATACATCAGATAAACCGAAACCCGCCAAAACTTTGCTATGTACATATAGAGTGAGATTAAGAAGGAAAAATAATGCTATCCTTAAATAATTTATTTTCCAAAAGAATTACCATTGTGTTTTGGTTTGCTTCTAAATTCCAAGCATGTAGCACACAATTAGAACAGTAAACAATCTCCAATTTTCTTAGCACCAAAATGTAATTGACTTACACGTTCAACCTATCGAAACTAATTTCCGAAATTAGAACCAAGTACAATATCGCTTTCCGGCATTTTTACTATGAAATTACCAAAACATAAACAAATTTGAGCTTCATATAATCACTGTAAACGCGTATAAATACAAAATTTGATTACCTGAGAGAGTGCTGTTAGTTTGCAACCAGTGCCGAAAGCCTCAATATTTGATAATTCAATGAGCATTGAGATTTTAGATGACGAACGACAGTACCACACCAAGTATGAATATGTAGAAACACCAAAAAAGAAAATCATTGCTAATGCAATACAAACAATGTTGACATTGTTTTAAGTATTTAACACAACAAAAAGATATCAACTTCCAAAAATTTCTTAGCCATCCAGTAGACACATTGTAATTAAATTTACTTCATGCATCTACCCCGAAACCATAGATGAAAGGCGCATTTCTCTCAATGTGGGTGGGACCCAAAACAATCAAATTTATTTGCCACCCAATAACCCAATTTTCCCAGCAACCAAACAATAATTATAAAATATCAAAAAATTGCTTTTTGAAAAAAAAGAATAATAAAAATTAATTTACGTTTTTGACCTTTTACCTTTGCTTGCCTTTTCTACACTGATCTCCTCCTCTACTTCTTTTTTTTTTTTTTTGGAAAGCCTCCTCTACTTCTTAGTCTTCGATTTTCCGACTCCACAAAACCCTAAATTAACAAAGGAAACCGAAAATTCCAAACCACAACAAATCAAAAACACCAAGATGGAGCAGATTG